AAGGCAAATGTGATGCCGGATGCATTTTCTCGAAGCTTAGATGGTAAAAGAAAGGCCGAGTTGGTGAAATCACTTCATGAAATGGTAAATATGCAAATTGAAAGTAGAAATAAACACTTCGCATCACAAGCAAACAAGGGTTGGAGGAGCGTGACATTCGAACCAGGAGATTGGATTTGAGTATATCTCAGAAAGGAACGCTTTCCAGAACAAAGAAAATTAAAGCTACGACCACGAGGGGATGGTCTATTTCAAGTCTTGGAGAAAGTCAATGACAATGCTTTCAAATTGGATCTTTCGGGTAGGTATAATGTTTCAACAACTTTTAATGTGTATGATCTCTCTCTTTTCGATATAGGTGCAGATTTGAGGATGAATCCTTTTGAAGAGGGGGGGAATGATATGATCCAGGAGTCGAGCTCGACGAGGACAAGCCCGGGATGGGATCCATTAGTTATCGAATGAGTCCCGATGACATGTTCGAGGGAAAAGTGGGTAAAAGAGGCGATGGGATTGCTTGGTCAAGTTATGGTGAATGAATTTTCAAATTTAACAAGTCAATACACGTTTTATGTTGGGTTCGGAAGAAGAAATCAAATGGATCAATTAGATTCAAGCAGCAAACGAGCAGCATAGATGAAAACGAAGATAACTTTCAGCTCGGTTATTGGATTTTCGCCCATGAGTACATTCCGAAAATGGCATAAAATTCTGCACAAGGTTACATGAGTGCATTGTACTTTTGGGCTTGTAGTCGCACAGAAACATGCCGAGAACAAGTGGATTGAAAACTTTCCTTTTTTTTTGTGAATTTCCTTGTTAGACTAGAATTCTATTTTCTTTCCAATTTTACAATATTTTATAGCCTAATTACGTTTTTACTAGGTTTTCTAGCCATCAGTATAAATAAGACTTCATTATTCAATGTATAAACCTTTTGACAAATTTATTATTGAGATATATTCTAGAGGCTATTGTGTTTTTCAACTTCGTTCTTTTTAGAACAATCTGAACTTATCAAGAGGATTCTTGTGGGGTTCAACACTGAGTGTGGATCAACGTATTGTGTAATCAAGAGGTCTTTCAAACACCGTTTTTGATTGGTTGCTTGATTCATTTAATTCTTGGTTCAAACTCAAAACCGGGATTATCTTTTGGACTTTCTTGGGATCTTCAATATCGTTGTGGGTTGCGTAGTGTTTTTTGCCACATGATTCTCATCAGTTATTCACACATATATAATAAACCATATAAACAATTTTATGATAAGGTAAGAGA